GGTGACAGAAGTGTGTGTCACCTGCCATATCCCCTCGCTCGATTTAAGGCACTGATATTTGTGGCCAGGCTGAGAGCACAGCTGTCTGGTGCTTCCCTGGCATTTCAAGCATGCTCATGGGCCTATGGACTGGTGTGAATTGCATGCCTGCGGACGAGCCAGGCATGGCAGGATGGCTTTCTGTATCAGTCACTGCTCTTCCATGTTCACCTGGCTTCCCTGCATGGGCCAGAGTGTCCATACCTTGCTTTCCTGGCTGTGCCCTGCCACGGACAGCAGGGCCAGTGGGGGTCTCCGGTGCCACCATCACCCCAGCCACTGGGGCTACACCTGCTCCATGGCTAAACACAGTCACTCCCTCCCTGGGGCTGTGGCTCTGGCATCCTTCACCGGTGCTAAAAACGACATTTTCCAAATAATGAAAGAATCTTTCATTACCTTGTCTCTGCAAGCAACCTGGGAGGCTGGGAAACAGCTGAGCACTGAGTGATGTGCTTAATGCAGCTTCCTCATCGGTATTTTTCCCCTCTGTCTCCAGTTAAGGCATGCCATGAGGCATGAGAGGATGTGGCTCTGGATGACTGCTGGGGGTCTGGCTGAGGCAGCAGTGCATGGCTGGGTGCCTTCAGTCACCTTCTCTCTCAGGAAGGCTGCAGCAAACCTGCTTCTCCTTGGCCCTGCAAGTCCTCCCACCCTGCTCCCTGCAGTGTGACTTTGTCCCAGCATGGTCTGGGATCCGGCTCACCTTGCACCCATGAGTGATTGTACTCCCGCAAGGAATCATGTCTGGGGTTGTTTGTTCCTGATGTGCCCTGGGGACAGCTGGAATGAGGGGAAAGAAGTGTTCCTCTGGGGATTGTACTGATGGGGAAGAGGACTTGTGTACAGATGATCCTGTACCTCCTCAATGGAGAGAACAGGTGTGGGTGGCTCCAGGCAAATGTGGCCTGAAAGCAGTATTTATTTCAGACCTTTTAAACAGTTCTAAGCCCCTTTACAAATGTCCCATCCCATGTCCTTAGGCAAATTATTAGGACAGAGGCAAGTAACCACGAGGTGCTGTCCCTTCTTCCATCTCCCACAGGGATGACACTGATCCAGGGGAAAGATCCATGTCCCTCATGGCTGTGTTTCACCCAGCAGCACAGACAGAGCAAAAGCCCACCCACAGGTGGCATCACCCTGTTGCCTGCAGCCCTGGGCATGGGAATGGAGTCTGAGTTACTTCCCTGGCATTCAGACAGCTCTGTCCTGCCAGGCAATGCCAGATCCACTCCAGTGAGTGAAGGGCATCTCCTTGCTTGGCCAAGAGCGGGTAGAGCAGCTGCCTCTGCTCCCTGTGGGGCACTTCACTCCTCTCACCAACTGCTGAGCGGAGCCTTCACACCTGTCTCCTGCGGCAGTGATGGTCCAGAGACCTGAGCCTTTCTCACTGTTGCCAGCTGCTTTTTCTCTCTCTGGCTCTCTCCTTCTGAGCTGGGTTTATTTTGGTTTTGAGCTGATAGATGGATTAGCATTTATCACTAGGCTGACTACCAGAGGGCTATTAAAAGTGATTTGCAATGTAAATACTTTCGTCATCAAGCACATTTTCTTTAGACTAAGGTTGACTTTTATGAATATTAAAGCCTTGTAGATGGGTTCAGCAAGTTTGTGGGAGTACGTCTGTCAGAGGGAGGGGGACTGGCTGCCTGCATTGTGCTGGGGAAGCAGTGTGGATCCACCGGAGGACAAAGGGATCTGTGGCAGAGGGAGGAAGTGGAGCATGAAAGGGTGTGTGAGGCAGAAAGAAAACGTGAGTGCCTTGAAGAAGGACAGAAAGAAAGGAGAGTGAGCATGCGAGCGTATGCAGGAGTGCAACTCTCTGTGAGCAGGATGGGAGGCATGGCTTGGGCTGGACTCTTACTGCTGGAGGCTGGCAGAGACTGTCAGGCTAGGGGAGGACTTGTGGAAGGAAGGGAGAGACCTGGCCAGAGCAGATTTGTCACTAGCAGAGCTCAGTGCCAGAGGCTGGTGTCTGAACTGGTGCATGCCCCGTGTACTCCAGGGATGGGTGAAAACTGCTCCTTTACTTGAGGATGAGTGTAGGGTTGCAGGACCAGCAATGAACTCCCCAAGTCTCCCAGCAGACACAGCCTGGCATTAGTCTGTGTGCCAGGAGCCAGTGCTGGCTGCTGCTGTGGCTGCTGCAGGTTTGAGTATAGTTACTGGGAATCTGTCAGGGATAATGGGTGGATGTTCCCAGCCTTGTGGGAGAAACCAGAGTAAATGACCCATATCAGCTTTTCCTGCTCTTCAGAAATATTCATCTCCTGAGCACGTGCTCCATGGTGTAAGCACTCTGCCTCAGGATAGCTATGGATGGGAGCTGTCACAAGCCAAGGTGGAGTACCGAGGTGGTCACTTGCCATTGGTTTCTGTATATCCCCCACTTCAGAGGCAGGGGTGAGAGGAGTGCCTTTGTCTGTTCCTAGGTGTTTGTGGTGTTTTGGTGCAAGGGCAATTTTTGAGATGGAGGAGCATGATGGATCATTGCCAACTGATAATGGAAGACTAGCTAATGCTGATTAGAGAGCAGGCACAGCACAGCATGGCTGAAAAGAAAAAATAAGACAAAGAAGCCATTCCAAAAATAGAGGCTAAAAGTGAAGTGATGCAAAAAAGCAGGAGTTGTGCGGTTATATGAAAAATAGCTCCAGGAGTATCCCAGATCCCTACAAGGTGATAGATGCTGGGTTTCCTGGCTGGTTACTGCCCCAGACCAAGCTGGGTCAGTCCAGAAGGATAGCAGGAGTCTTGGACTGTCACAGGTCTTAATTCCAAAAGAGAGTAAGGTAGGCCCTTAATTTGCCTGGGCCATTGAATATGAAGTCAAGTCAGGCCTTGGCTTCTTCCATGAGAAAACCACAAGTCCCTCCTGTCCCACCTCACAGCTTGTCACAATGTACATGGCCAGGGGAATGGTTGGAGCTGGGTTCTGGTTCTGGAGTGCATTAACTGTTGTTCATGACCAGTGCTGACACGGCCCAGGAAGGAATGTGATGTCACTTCGGTGGCAACAAGAGAGGCTGGTGAAATTTGCTGCCAGACCACAAGAAGGGAATGTGTGAATATGTCAAGCCAAAAGAAGGAAGTGCTCCCTTTAATTGGAATATGGATGGTGAGTCCAGACTTTCAGAAATTCTACTTCTGACTAATGAGTGCATATAGCTAAGCTAAGACTTAGAAGTTGGAAAGTTTTCAATTTGGTTACACATTTTTATCTCCATGACTGATCAGCTTGGGAAGAAGACTGTATCTCACTGTTCATTACAGTCTTTTGTCTTTCTATGGGGACTTGTAGTTTGAAACAAGAGTCCAATCAAAGAACCCAACTCCAGTACAATCAAATTGTCTTTGAAGCAGATATTTCCTCAGTCTGATGAGTTCTCACAGAGCATGACAAAGGTCTATTTACATTAAATTTTTTTAGTGGGAAAGAGGGAGGAGGAGAGGGTGGTATTTGTTTGAGGTCAGGACTTTGGACAAGGCAAGAGACTCCAAATAACTGGCTGGAGTCTTTGATGGGTTTTGGTCAGTGCCTGCAAGAAGAGTGCAGGCAGATGTTAAGCTGAAAAGAGCCAGCAAAGCCTCAGTGCAATTGCCTGGCTCCGCACCAGCCAACTTTTGGAAAGCTTTGTCTTCTTCCTTCTCAAAGAAGGCAGGAAGGAAAAAAAATATGAGTTGACTGAACTCACTAAAAAAAAAAAAAATGCCAGAATGTGGCCTATGGTGATCAAACTAATGGTGGTGCATCTGCCTCCCTGCTGTGGCAGGGTCCTCTTGGTGTGCAAAGGCAGCACCAGATGCAAGTGCCAAAAGGCTTTAACCTTTTCAGGGTGCAGAGATGCACCTGGAGTGGGAGATGTGTCATCAGAGAAAATTGTCTGAATTACCTTAACAATGTTCTCTCTGCTGGAATTCAGAAATGTGCCTCCATTTGCAGGGAGAAGATACCAGTTTGCAGGATCTATGCGGAAAAGAGGTCCAGTCTGTGAACTGGACACACCTTTAGAGGAGACATTGACATAAAATACTGTGCTTTTGTTAAGTGCCACCTCCCAGAGTCAGAGAGGTATGAGAAGAGGGTGAGGAGGTGAAGGAATGGATGGTAGGAACCCATCTGCTACTGTAATTGCTTCAAAGGAGGGCTACAGTGGGGCATTTATTTGTTTATGTGTGTCTATGCATGTGTGTGTGAGAGCCGAGCAGATGGGAAATGATACCCGCGTGTGTCTGTGAGAGAGCGAGAGTGAGAGGCAGAGGAGTGGGTAAGGGCGCTGCTCTGGGTTTGAAGTGGGGGGATGGGGAAAGGTGTACAGGAAAAGAAATGCTATTTTTTTTTTCCTTTTTCCCTTTGTTTCTTCTTGTTTGATGCTTTCTCATTATCAAAAGCCAGACCTGGGGGACAGTCAGACAGCTGGTTGTGGAACTGCCCGATGAGGTTTTTTTGTTCTGCATGAACACCGCAGTTCCGAGTGTTAGTGACAGCCCGGCAGAGTTTTTTGGAGACTGGGGAAGGCGTCGAGGCCTCCCTTTGCCCAGGCCGTGAGGGGCCCCGCTCTGCGCCTCCCTGCTCCTCGCTCTCTCCCGCCGTGGGACGCCGGTGCTCCCGGCGCTGCCGGCTGTACGGATCGGGACTCATCCCCGCGGGACTGCGGGGGGCAGCAGGGGCCGGAGCCCGGCGCCGGGAGCGGGCGGTCCCGGGAGCGCTGTCCGGGGTGCTGCAAGAGCGCTCCCGCACATCTGGCCGGCGGGGAACGGCGGCGGGGGGATTGGCAGCGGCTCCTGGCGTCCTGAGCCCCCGTCCTCCCCCTCGCCGTCCCGGTGCGCTTTCGTGGCGGCGAGGGGGGCGCACATCTGGGGGCGACACATCTGGGCCCTCCCCTCTCCCCGCCCCTCCGCCGCGCGCGGCGCCGCCGGGACCGGGAGCCGGGACCGGAGCCGGGAGCCGGCCGGGCCATGCCAGCCGGAGCCCCCGCGGGCGCGGCGCGGTACCATGGCCGCTGAGAACCGCTCGGCGCCGGGCGGCGGCGCGCCCTGGGCTGGGCTGCCCGGTGAGTCGCTGCTCGGGGCCGTGTGCGCGGGGCGGGGGGCGCAGGGCATCCCCCGCAGCGTCCGGCGGGGGTGTCAGCATGGCTTCAGGGTGCATGGGGAGGGGGCTCCGCACCCCCGGGGGATGTGGCACGCGGTCGCCCCAGGAATGGGGGAGGTGTCTCTGCCAACTTTCCCACATTCCTGCGTCTCTCCGGGAACGCCGGGGTGCCCCGCGGGTCGGGCCCCTCGCGCTGGTTCGCTGCCCCGGGATGTCTGGAGCGGTGCAGCCTGCCAGGGCACCGGGGCGATGTCTGGCACCCCCTTTCCCTGTTCCCATCCAAACCAACAACGTTCCCGGGATCCGTCGCCCGAGGAACCTCGGGCCCCTCTTAGTCACCCAGGAAACAGCCTTGTCAGCACCCTGAGTAGGGAATACGAGCAGCCTGCGGCTCCGGGGGCAGGCACCCCCAGGAGGAAACCCAGGACGGGGTTATTTGCTCCCCTGGTGCCTTCTCTGGGAAGGAGACATTCCTGGACGAGAAACTACCTGCACGCTCTTTGCTTCCCTCACTATTCCAACAAGAGCAACAGGGAGAGGATCCCCTATCTTTTGGATACTTTGTCGCCATACTGGGCAAACCTCTCTGGCGCTTGTGGCCACCTCCCAGGACATGACTAGGCAGAAGCTTGCCCCCTCCTCACAGAGCCCTTTGCCAGATTGGGCATTGCAAGGGAGACAGATCTTGCCCACTCTCTCCCTCAGTGCAGATCTCATCTTCCCTTTAGCCCTTTCTGGTCCTGTTGCACCCCTTCTGCTGGTAATGACAGAGCTGCCCCGTGCTCTCTGTTGGCACACCATGGACAAGAGTCGGGCAGCCACACCCTTCTTTCTTTCCAAAATAATGACATTGGCTTCAAATCAGGGAACAGTTCTTAAAATTTTTCTTAAAAGCAGCACTGGTTTTTGTCTGACCTGTTTTCAACCCTTCTGATTGTGCTGTGAATGGATTTTTCTAGCTGGTATTTGGTAAGCCAAGGCTGGGGAGATACTTCCCAACCTGAGGAACAGCTGGTTCCCTATGCCCTGGAACCCTGTGCCCTGCTGGTAGATGGGCTCTGCTTGAGCATTTGAAGGCTCCCTGCTTTATCACAGCTGCCCGGGGTGACCTCCAAAGGTGGTTTGACTTCTGCCACAACTTGTAGAGTAGACAGAGGGGCTGGAAGGGTTGCTACCAATGCAGTTGGGTGGCTTGTTGATGCAGGCACTGTCTATCAAAATACTCAGGTGACAGGATCCCAGAACCCAGGCTTTTGGTGAAACAGCACCAGAGACAATGCTCACGTTGAAATCACAGGTGACAGCAAGATGCTTTCGCTGTCTCTACTGCTGGGCACCACCTCCTCCTTCCTAATGCCCTAACTCCTGTGATCTGAGCACCTGCTGCTGCTCTCCAGCCCGGACTAGGCCCCCAGGAGACATCCAGCAAAGAGCAGAGCATCCAGTGGAGATCCTAACCAGCGACCCATCCCTGGCTCACCCTTCAGCTGGGATGGCGGCCGGTGGTGGAAGCCCTGGAGGTGGAAGGTGGGGATGGGAGCAGGGTGCAGGGGTGGGCAGCAGCCAATGTGCCTTTGCTCAGAGTGGCAGCAAGTTTTCAGGGCTGCTGCATGGAGCGGCAGCAGCTCTGGGAGTGACCTGATGAGTGGGCAGAGGAAAGCTGGCGGGAGAAGGAGGAGAAGGGCTACTGGGAAAAATGGTTTGTTTATTCACACGAGGGGCATACCCATCTCAGCAGGTCAGTCTGTTTTCTTTCATGGAAGAGAAGAACTGAAATTATTAATTAATGCTGTGATCCAATTACTCTGAGTTTGCAGAAGGAGCATGGTTTTTCTCTTTTGACTGTCCCCACAAGCTGTGTCCCCACCCCACTGATGGCAGGTTTTGACATGGTTGGGGGTTTGTTGTTTTCTTCTTTAAAATTAAAATAACAAACATCTCCCCAGGAGAAAAAAAAAAGAAAAAAAAGAAAAAAGACAAAACCAGGGAATAAAAATAGTGAGACCAGGAGGAGCAGCTGATTCAGAGCAGTCCCTAGCACACCTTTGTGTTGATCCCTTCTCTGCCTGCCCTTGCTGAGCCCTGACCAGCAGCATCCACAGAGGTGAAGAGGTTTGGTGAGTGCCCAGCCGAGGTGGCAGATGTAGCTCTGCAAAGGCAGCGGCGAGATCAGTTGTGAGAGAATACAGAGATGGAGACTGTTTGCAAGGGGCTGCCGTTTTCTGCACAAACACACCTCCTCTTTCCACATGGACAGACACGCAGCAACTGTTTCTTGTGTGCAAGCTGACCCCTTCTCCTTGGCATGCTAAGTGAGGGCTTTGTTGGGCATCTTCTGGAGATGTGGGCATTGTCCTCGAGCCAGTTGCTCCTAAGTCTATGCCCTTATTGCTCTCCAGTAAGCCAAGGGAGGAGATTTGCTTTGTATTTCAGCATCCATTCTGGGCTGGCACTAAAACTGCACATTACAAGACGTGTTTTGGGGAGATATGAGAGTGCAGGACCTGACACAGCGAGGAAATGAAAGTTTTGGACCAGATCATTCCCATGTATTTCCTCTTCTCTCTCCATTTCCATCCCAGCATCCCCTGCTGACTGTTCTTTAGCCCGCCCAAGCACCAGCACCCACCATGAGTGTGCCAGGTACCAGTGGTTGCAGTGAGGCTTCACACCCAGGCACTGTTGAAGCCTCTTCAAGCTGGTGATTGGAACCATGCCAAATACATCCTTCTTCTGAGGGATTTGTGTGACCAGTCAGAGAGCAGATACCAGCTTTTAGGAAGACTCATGTGCTCTCCTGCCCAGGGCCCTGGCAGACCAGGAGGTGAGGGCCTGAATGTCTGGCTGCTGTCCAACTCACAGCCAAGTGGAGGAGTGTGCCAGCCTTGACTGTCCCCAGGAGTACAGCCCACCATGACATCCTTTCCAGCCTCTAGCCATGGCACAGCCTTGCTGCATCCAGACCCTTGAACATACCGAGGTGGACCTTTGCCCTGTATTCAGACAAATTCATTTACTGAATCTTCAAGGAGTTAGGCAATTCCTGGACTCATTAATCTGGGGCAAGTCAGGCTGGCCCATGATTCCAGTATTTTGCTGGTGCATGAACACAGGGCAAGGTGTCTCATATACAGATCCTCCCCTTGATGCTTAGACACAGAGTTTTAGCAGGAGACACACAACCAGTCCATGTTCCCCCAGCTAGAGACACCTGGGTGTCCTCACTCTGTGTGCCTGTTGGCAGCCATCCCACCTTCCCTGTGGATCGATGCACTGGTCCTCTTGGGACTTGACTCTGTGCCAGGACAACATCATTTGACCTATCTTCAGACCCTGGCACTGTGAGCACAGCAAACGAGGCTGTGCTGGAGATGCTCCCCAGCCCCAGCCCTTGCGTGCCGGGCACAGCTGCTCACGCCTTCGCCCCGGGGCTGCTCTTGGGACCCTCCAGAGATGCCTTCAGCCCTGAGGCTGCACCGCATGGAGGAGGAACTCCAGCAAAGGCTCAGCTTATCCCTTGTATGATGCAAGTTTGCAGAGAAAATTAACATCACCAGTCTGTCCAAGCCTGCAAATGCAATGGCTGTAGGCACAGTGCTTTGTCTGTCTGACAATCCCCAAAACTGTTGCTGGAGGTCCTGCAAATCAGAGCTGTGTGAGTGACAGTGGCTCTTCTGCATTTCTGTGACGCTGTCGCCATCATGCCTTTATGTCCTGTGCAATGTGTGCCCCATTCCCACTCGGTGCATGAGGCAGTGGCAGAGATGCCCAAGTGCCCTGTTCCCTTCCCACCTCCTGCCCCAGCGCTGGGCAGGTTGAGGTGTGCAGCTGCAGGGGAACCTCTCCCACCTGTTCCTGTGACTCAGAGAGAGCTGGAGAGGGACATGGGGAAGCACAGGGCTGTTTACTTGTCTTCAAGAGCCTCCAAGAGGAGTTACATCCCAGGTCAGTTGGTGAAGGAGGGGCAGCAGCTGGGAATTTTGTCCTTTAAAGGCAGAACTCAGTACAAACCGTGGAGCTCTTTGAGCTCAGCAGGCTTGGCCTGAGCTATCGGTGTGTTACTGAGCTATTGAGGGTGGCTGTGTTCCTCCAGCCAAAAAAGCCAGGAAGAGAAGCAGCCCCTCTGGTACCACAACTGCTTTTAAATCTAGCATATTGTATAGCACCTTGCAGCTTGGCAGAGGAGGCAGTGGGGGCTGACACCAGGAGCCTCAGCTGGAAGTGTCTGGAGGAGAAATGTCATCAGGAGGGATAAGGATCCTGGTCAATTTGGTTTGCATTGGCCTGTTAAGAGGTTAATGTCTTCAGCCTCCTTAAGCAGAATAAGATTGATTTGTCTGTGGGAAACTCAGCTGCAGTTGTGCAACACTGAAGCCTGAAAAAATGAGTCTGCAAACATGATGTCCCGGGCCCCTGCATGCGCTCCAGGTCACAGAGCAGCTCTCCAGAGGCCTCCATGGCACCGTGCTTCACTGACCCCTCACTTGCAGACCCTCCCAGTGTCAATGCCAGCCCCCAGGTCCCAGGCAGCGCGGCAAGCTGGCTCTAATGAGAAGGGATGAAGGTCCTTGAGGGATCTTGGAATGACTGAGATGGGAAAGAGTACCCGGCATCTCGCCACCTCTAGTGCCTCTGGGATAGTTTGGATCCTTCCTCTGCTGACAGTTACATCATGTGCAGTCCCAGATAAGGCCAAAAATGTGCATGCATGTGTACAGAGAGGAGTGGAGAGCAATGAAATTCCTCTGGCATCTGCCTTTGCCTGAAAACAGGCATGAATTGCCTGGCCTTGGGCCTGCCTTTCTACAGCACTTAGGAGCAGTGTCTAGCATGGTGGTCCCTATGCTTCTTGCAGAGCTCAGATACCTCACCAAGGCCCATAAGTGATGCTCAACTCATTAAACCCTCTGCTACTGTGTCAACGGGCTGTCCCAGTCAATGGGCTAAACCCCCTGCTCTGTG